CCCATTTTATACTTTCGGATGGCCGTAACTCAATAAATTAAAGCGACAAAGAACTGAAACTTGCACTGCATCTAGATATATGTAACTTCTAGTTGCAGTAAAGTTTTCATTGCATTTGATCGAACTGTAAAGACTCTAGAAAGATAGAAAGTCGTCGTAGCATACTCACCCAAAAGGATTCCTTACATCAAAATGATTCAAACCAGCCCACACTTTTCAAAAGTTTCTCGCTTAGAATGAAATGTTTTTTTACTCTGTAGCTGAGACAACAGACCTTACGATGGTCAGATATTTTCTCTGGAAGTTTGTTTCGAGAAAGACTTATCATCACAACACTACAGTAACGCACTCGTCGTTCTTTCTCCATTAACAATGAATTCCAATATAGGAAATCGATAGCAAAGATATTTTTCTGTCGATCTACGCAAGGCCAACTTTTCTAGCTTATACCATTTAGAAGTTACAAGCATTTTACTAAAAGCCTTGAAATTGGCCAACTGACCATTGATCACTCTAAACTGTATTAAGTTTGGCGTATTCTTCCATCCTGAGTTCAATGGTAGTATTTTTTTCTAGTTTCAATATGATCATAAGTTCCTAAATCATGACTTTTTTAATTCAATCGATGCAAAACTTTTAGTGTTAGAGGAGGTATTTTCAAGATCTTGTCTTGATAGACAAACAATCTAAGCTCAAAACAGTTTAGAGTGACCAGTAGTCAGTTAGTCAATTTCAAGCTTTCTAGTAAAACACTTATAACCTCTCTGAATCGAACAAGCTAGAAGGGTCGGTCTTCTATAGATCGACAGGGGAAATGTCTTTGCTATTAATTCCTAATATTGGAATTCATGGTTAGGTCAGACAGTCTTTTCGAAAACTTCTAGTCAAAATCTACAAGAAAAACTCACCAGCTTCGTCAATCCATAGTTCATTTAATTCAGCAAAGTTTCATTTCTTTTTGGGATGATGAAAACCACAGGCTTCTAGCTAATTTCATTCTTGAGATATTCAAAAAATATCGAGGTACATTTTATTTTGACGCCGATAACAACATGTAGAACGTTATCAGCCGTTATGCATTACTTCAAACTGATAGAAAAGTATGAATTCTGTTGGAAATAACAAGAAATCAACCAGTAAATATACAAGGTGTGAACTTATACATCTTCACCATAAATAACTTGAATACATTCATTCTGTTCGAATGTATTGAGCTGATTCTTTTATTAATCATAGAGAAATGTTTAAAGCTTTGTCTTTTTTAATAAGAGAATTGTTAATAAACACTGCTTTCCATTGTCGACAATCATTTCAATACGTATTGTAAAGTTCCACTGGTTCAGAAAATAAAGAAGTGCAAGAAAACTCATGTATATTTATATGATTGTAATGTCAGATAGCAACAAGTCAAGTCAAGATAACCTTCACTCAAAAAGTCAAAATAATCTTCATTAGAATCACCTCATCGTTGCAGTCTTTCATAGTGTGGATGCGAGTATGGAAGAATGGAAGATTCACATCTAGTTCAGTGTGAGAAAACTGTACATATGGTTGGTGTATGGTAAGAAAAGAAACGTTTAGCCCAAGTCACAGAACGAGTTAGATGATCGAGTATATCCGCCGGAAAAAGAACAATCCACGCATAAATGAAACTGTCTATACTGTTTTATATAAGTATAAAATGTTACATTACTGTATTTCAACGGATGTCAACAAATGAAAGCAGTATTTATTAACGATTTCCGTATAAAAAAAACTTTGGATACTCCTGTATCATTGATAAAAAAATCAGCAAAATACCTTTGAGCAGAATGCAGATATTTAACTTTTTAATCCTCAGAATGTTGATTGCTCGCTCTATAATACTATTAAAAGTTAAACAGGAAGCATCATATAAAACTCTCTTTACAATATATGTATATATATTATGTTTTTAAATTTAGTTTATACAAAAGTATTATCTCTTTTAAGAAAAGTCATTTTCACATATTATCAGAATTCTCCTATTGTTTCAATAATTTTGATAAAAAAAAAATTACAACACGTTTATTTAAATAAATTTTCTGAATTTATTATGAGTTTGAATTTTACTATTTAGTGATAGGAAAAGAAATCTACTGTTGATTGTAACAGGTGTCATTGTTACCTTGGTAATTATCTCTGGACTTATTGCAGCTGGTGTTTATTACTATATAAAAAAACAGTAGTTTGGAATATCAAAATCATCAAAATAATTAACTGCAATCACTGCACATTTATTTACTTTTTCTTCTCTTACCGATCATTATTAAAATTTCGTCGATGTTTCATATTTTCGATTGTAACGAATCATACAATTAATTCAAGTATTTTTACATTTTTGTTTCCCTTAATATTTTATATGCCATTGTGTTTATTATAGGAAATAAAAAATTCTTCATACATCTGTCAAATAGTAACTAATCATATAATTGTCTAGATCACTTTCAAATAATTTTCTTTTGTCAAATCAGATATTCAAAAAAAAAACAAAAGTATTGATCAGAAGACAAGACAGAGTAATAATCTATTACATTTATTCGTAGGAACAAAACAATTGAATAGTTCTAATCGATTCCCATTCAATTGATGAGTTATTTTTAACTTTGTATGTGAATCATAAGTAAAAATAATATGTCATTCGGCAACATTTCTCAACGAGAAATATTTCTAATAGAGTAGTGTATGCATTAAAGATTGTCGAAAAATACTGAAAATGAACAACCACAATGGAAATTTTCCAAACAAAATCAATTGTAAAGTTGAAGAAAGCATAAAAACTACGTTTCTAATTCGAAGACAATACTGTTATGACGAACAATATTTAATATAATTGTCATGATTGAATAACACATTTAGATATCTTTTAAGCAGCGATGATTTTCGAAATATCTATAAGTACTTTTACCAACGATTATGTCTTCCAATAATGATTTATTGACTGAGTTCAAAACTAACTCTAGTTCTTTTGTGAGATGATATTTGATGTATTTTTCTATGATCGAATTATCATATATGATCGAATAAGAAGGAAAGCATCTCTCTTTATCGACAAACATCAACATGATGAAAGTGAAGCGTCAAGTAAGTCAATGTTCGCGATTCTCATTTTGTGCCAACTAGTCTCGAACATTGATTTCTTTGTAGCTTATATGTTCACATCGTCGAGGGTGTGGGTGTGACTGATAACAACACTCACACCCCACATCAGAAAATTATGTTCGAAAATATTTTTATGCACAAACAAATCTATATATTACTTTTTTTTGAGTACCGCATTCTAAGAGACGACATTGGTTATTCTATCACAAGGAATACCAAAGCTAAAAAGTTCTTGATTGTTTTTTGGTTGAAACATAACTCAATAAAATCTAACAACATAATTTATTCATACTTTAAATATTCTCTATGAGCTAGATCATATTCCAAGACAAATACACATCGATAAAAAATATAACTCAAATAAATATAAGCTTGAAGATTCTGTCTTTTTTTCTGGCTAGAGCTTGCTAAGACAAACTAGATTTCAATAAAAATATACTGATGAAGTTTACAGCTTTTTATATTCAATTACCTTTCAATTAAAATTAAACATAATTCAATATAAATGTATGAAATTATTTCATTATTTCTCAGCTTTTTCGATTTTTTTGTTTTTAAATATATTTTTAAATCTTGTTTCTGAAAATTTTATCTATGTAGATTGAAGTATAATGTCTATTGCTTTACAGAAATGAAGAAAAAAAATTATAGATTATAACATTTTGAGATAGACAAATAAAATGATTGAATAATTAATTCATGAATTAAATAGGTATTCACATGCTTTGTTTTAGATCTAGAGCATAGATTTCATCTTTGACTAATGATCAAGACAAAAGATTTATTCGAACGAAAAACTTTAATGAGCAACCACCATCTAATATTGAATTGTTCTAGAAATATATTTGCCGCATCGATTATGAAAGTAACATCCATAGAATGTTTGCTTTAAAATAAATACAATAAAGCCTGGTAGTGACAAATAATGGAGTTTGAATGGAATAAAAAAAAGCTTACCGGTGAATAGACAACAGAATGAAAAAAAAACTTTTACACGATTATTCTCTTGGGCGTAAAAATAAAAATGCTTCAAAAGCATTGCAAAAACATATTCTTTACATGAAGGCAAGTATATAAAGAGAATATCATAATATGAATTTATAAATCATAATAAAACATGTATATAAGAGTCAACTTTTTTACTAATCATTTTTTTTATGAATGAACCCAATGTAACTGTGCTTTTGCTCATTCGATTCGTAGTGTGTTCTGTCTAGTAATGTACACGTGGCATCAATCTTTTCTTATGAGATTCTTTTTTATTGTCGAACGTTAAGCAAAGTTTTCATTCTTTTTTCTTCTCATCAATCAAAGCAGCGCACATGTCACTTTTATTTTCTTTTATTTCACCATTTTTTCTTCTTCACATGTTTTGTCAAGTGAAATTTACACCTAACGGATGAAGATATCAAAACAAAAAACTAAACTACGGTTGTTTTCTTCATTTTGAAATCAAGATGAAAAACCGTGACGTACATCAATTGATGTTTCAAAAATTAATGTTTTCGTTAAAATACTACGATCGGAGAAGTAATGTTTTATTTTTGATTAAGATCAAAAATTGATGTTTTTCTTTTCAGCCTGTTAGTTATTATTAAGAACTTCATGTTTTAATGCAAGCTAATGATAAGAAAGAAATTCAACCGATAATATTCTTTTCTAGATTTGTTTCTGTGATGACACTTGAATTTCCTTCTTTTCATGAGAAAAAACTTCCGCATGAAATCAAACTCATTTGGCCACCAACGAAGTTGCAAGATACTGTCACTCTTAATCGAGTCACAGGCTCACTTGTAGGCTTGGCGGTAGGAGATGCAGTAGGAGCGAGCATAGAATTTCGTTCTCAGCAATATCTTACCGCCCATCCTGTTAGTGACATGATGGTTGGAGGTACCTGGGATTTACAAGCAGGTCAATGGACCGATGATACTTCAATGGCTCTATGCCTTGCTTCATCACTTATTACTCAAAAAGGCTTCAATCCTTATGACCAAATGATTCGGTACAAATGGTGGTATAAACATGGATATTTATCTTCTATAGGACAGTGTTTTGACATTGATAACGCAACACGAACTTCATTAGAAGAGTTTTATCATCGTCAGATACAGTTGAAGAAAGATTTTAACTATCAAACCGAATCTGAGATCGATCAATTGCCTCTAGATTTTATTAAGCAAGTACAGTTTGATCTCAACTGTAGTAGTCCTAGTATTTCTGGAAATGGAGCTTTGATGCGTCTTGCTCCTGTACCACTTTTCTTCTATCGAAAACCTTCTTTGGCTGTCGAACTTTCAGGACAAAGTGCTCGTCTTACACATGGCGATGATATAGCCTTTGATGCATGCCGTTACTATGGAGCTCTGATTGTTGCTGTTATTCACGGTGAATCTAAAGAAAATCTACTCAGCGATCAATTTTATGATAGTCATCAGATATGGTTTGGTTCAAAGCCTCTTCATAATGAAATCGTTCGTATCACCAAAGGATCTTTCAAACGATCACGAGATTACAAGGATGGAATTCGAGACAAAGGACACATTGCCTGGGCACTCGAAGCAGCATTGTGGGCATTCGAGAGTGCAGATACGTTCGAAAAAGGTGCACTTAATGCTGTTAATCTAAGCGATGATACAGATACTACAGCAGCTATTTATGGTCAATTGGCAGGTGCCTACTACGGTTATTGGAAAATTCCAGCACAGTGGATAGAAAAATTATATGCTAATAGCTTAATTATATGCGTCTCCGAATGGATACATTACCTGGGTTATTCAGAGATGCAAGTATCCGAACAGAAAAGAGCGATCCATAGTGAAACTCAGATATCTACATCATTGATAGAACCTTACTATGCAAACATGGCAGATTCGAGACGAAGAAGCCTACCCATAAATGGAAGAAAATCGAACGAAAAACTTGATCGTAGACGCGCCAAGTCTGTTCCGAGGCGCATTAAGACTGCTCGAAAGCGCCAAGACTTTTTCCATACTCTGTGTGGATGTAGTAGATCGAACGCCATCGATGATTGAAGCAATGAAAACCATTATAAATCGTTTATATGCAATGATATTTACATATCTTCTATTAAAATAAATAAGGTCAAGGAGTTTTTGTTCAATTTTATCGCTCACAATGAATGATTTTTAATATTCAATGATCGATCTTGTTTCAATTTGACATTAATACTAGCCAATATAAATGCCTCTATTATTTTTTTAAAATAATTTGTATCAAAAAACTGTAGACCAAAAATATTTGAATCTTTCTATTGTATATACAGCGTGTTCCAAAATGTTTGCAACATGTTAACTTTGCATATATCTTCTCATAGACAAACCATACAATCTTGACGTTTTCTTTGAGCGATGCGCCATCGTATTCTCTACAAAATTCTATTAATCTTTATTTAAAACAATAGAATTGAACGTTTTAATAAATTACATAGTATAATTGCATCAAATGCACCTACTTCCCACTGATTTTTAACATGTTTTTACTGATTTTTTTTCAACGATTTAATTAGAAACCTAAAAAGTTGTGTTTATAGTATTTCGATTGAATATGAAATGCTCTTTTAGAATAATGTATCAACTTTTAATCACAGTTTACCTTTATCGTATAGAATTAGCCAAACTGAGTCGTTGCAGCAAAAATAGACTGTTTGATAGTACTCAGATTTTTATTCCAGTTGAATCATTACATACAAAAATGTTATTAGGACTCGAACTGAAAAAACGAATTTAGTTTCGAAAAACATAGCAAAAATGAACTCTCCTTGGTCATAAGTAAGATTTCTGAGATACTTTTTTGTTAAAACGAAATATACAATAGAGAAAGTGTTGTTATCTTCAAAACAAAAATGGTTCTGGGGAAAATGCTACCGAATCGAAAGAATGAGCAAGAAAAAACCTCGTGTATATGGTCCATTAGCAGAGACTTACAAGAGTTATGTATTACTGAGTTTTGTTTTCAAAAATAAATATTCGTTCGTATGGGAAAAATAAATTGATAAAAACAATATTTGCGAGGTAGATATAGTTCATGTAATCAGACCAGGATGTAGGTATGGGTGTGGGTGTGAGTGAGCGTGTCCATCGAAAGGAAACACACCAACACTCACGCCCACCCACAACCTACACTCCACACGCACACCCACATTCACACACGCTCACACTCCACACCCGCATCCACATCTATATACACTCACACCGGTAATCATGTTATTCGTCGAAAAATTTTTGTCGACACGACACTTCGTCGACAAAGCACTTCATCAATAAACTCAGATAGATATCTGTTTTTCGTCGAAAGTATTTTCTTGGCTATGGAGAGTACTCCAAATGTGAAGGTGAGGTGAGCGTGAGAGTGATGGTAAGGACCATGTAGGCGTACTCCAAATGTGAGGATGAGCATGACGTGAAGGCAATGGTGAGTGAGAGTGAGCACGATTGTAAGGGCAACAGCCATGCAAGACACTCCAAATATGAGGGTGAAGGCAAGGGTAAGGGCGATGGCACTACAAACGTGAGTGTAAAAGAAAATTCACTGTCCTCTTAACTCTGAACAGTTCTGTAGAAGAATTGAAGGATCCGGAATTGTCTCGGGGACTACAAACCTTGCCTTGACGTACTTTTCGACGAAAAGTATGTAATTCTATTCAACAATGCCCTGAAATACTTCCACCATCGCCAAAGGGACAAAGTTAATTAGGAGATACTTTTGAACTTGTCTCCTGACGGCGAGATAAATAAGAAGAAAATAATTCACTTTCAACTAAATGCTTTTCTACAAAAAAAATTTCGACAAAATGTCTTGTCAACGAAATGTTTTTCGACATAAAAATTTCGACAAAAATTTCTCAACAAAGTTACTTCGACGAAAAGTCTGTCGACCAAAGTGCCGTTCGACGAACAACATAGCATTCCTCACACCCATACCCTTCTAGAGTTTCAAAAAGACTATTTTTTTGGAGTAACAGTCAGACCTTTTACTCTTTCATAGCAACAATTCTATTCTTCAAATAATATAAGTAACGTTCATCAAGATTCAATTCACTTGGCTCTAGGATGACAGAATAGGGATTTGTATAAAGACTCATCTAGATATAAATGTACATTAAGTAAAGTACTAGATAAATACAAAAGGTGACTTGACATATAAGAGTGATTTTTTTCCAGAAAACCAGTTTTGAATACACTGCAAGTGTCCGATGAAGTTCAGTTTATATGTGCGATAATTTTTTTTCTACAGAAATTTTATCAATTTTTGATTGTTGTACTGTTGTAAGTATATTTGCTTTTGTTCTCTAATACTGATTTTGAGATTTTATTTTTAAATTTCAAATGATAATTGAATACAGTGAACGAAAATTCTTTTTATCATATATTGATATATATGATTAGCAAGAGTAATTGCATCGTGTTTCGCATTTTAATCCCACAGAGATTGTGCGAACAGCGTCGTTTGAAAATGAGATCCTTAATTTGACTTTTATGAAACAACTTCTGTGCCTAGTGATTCAAAACATAATTGATATTGATTCTGCGGAAGAAATTTATTTATTATTAACAATGATGTCATATTAATATAGAATTCTAAATTAGTTGAACCAAATATATTTATTACATATAAATGTATATCTACATAAATTTCATAATTTTTTATTTAATTTTCTTTCTTCATATTCAATTTTAATAATATCATCTGCAAATAATTGTTCTAATTGTTTTAATGTTAATAAATTTTCTATAACATTTCTTGTAACATATTTACATAATCTTATATCAAGTATAATTAAAAATTTTAATTTTCGACATATACAATGAATTGTATCATCATCAACTTGTGTCTCTTTTAAATAAAGTCGTCGAAGTGTTTTATGAAATGAAAGTAATGTATCAGTAAATGTACGTGTACGTGTTATACGAAAACAACCATTAAGATTAAGTTCAATTAAATTTGGACATAAATCTGGTAAATAACGTACAGATACAAGTCCAAGACATGATGATTGTTCAAATGATAAAATTTCCAATTGTTGAAGAGAAAATTTTGATGTTGAACCTTTTAATGGAATTTTAGGAATTTTTAAAAAATCAGATGTACCTTGAATACTTGTCATTAACATTTCACATTTTGTTAAATAAAGACCTTGAAGATTTGTTGGTAAATATGTTATATTTTTACAAGCTGTTGAATCATCTCGAAAATCATATTTTGATATATGAAAATAACGAAGATTTGGATATGATGTACGAATAAAATAACTTAATTGTTCTGTATATGGTGGTAATTTAATAAGACTATTTTTTGCTTTTTTTACATTTGGTGCACCTGATATTTTTAATATTGTCGTACATGGACGAGCAAATCGACGAAAAAATTTAACTAATACTCGATTTGAATAAGATTTTTTTGTTAAATCAATTATTTTCCATAATTGATCATCATTAGCAATACGACGAAATAGTTTACAAACACTATGAAGAAAAAAAATGATATTTCAAAAAACAGAAAAAAAAGAGAATGTGTTCATTGGTAATCTTAACTTTGGTCGAAAGTCGAAAATATTGACAAAGACTTCATCAGACTGTTTTATGGACATACAAGATGTGCCATATCTTCACAATACCAAGAAAAAACTATTATCTCCACATTGGCTCAATAAATTGGACTCATTTTTCCCCATAGATTAATGTTCGTTGGATTCACCATTTTTGGATTCGAGACTAATCCAATGGGTTCTACCACTGATAGCGGAGACTTGAGGATTTATTTTCATGAGAAAACTGTCAATAGATGCTTTGTTTGAGTTATCATTTTTCAATAAAATATAAAAATGTCAGTCCGTCGGTTTTTAGTAAAAATCATCCCTGCTCAATTGAGATCTAGAGTCCTGTAGGGTAAGGATGGCACAAAAAATGTTTAGGGTAGAATTAGAATGTTGTTTATATTACTAAGCTTTTTTGGCAAGCAACTCCGAAGATATTTCCTGATATCTTTCTGATTCAAACGGAAGTCAATTATTATGTTAAAACGAAATTAAGTTTTGATAAAGAAGAATCAGTATTGGACTGGTGGGACAAATGGTCATTGAACTGTTCATAACTTAGTGTATTGGAAAAAGACGATTGGAAGTTTTGACAAGTTCAGCCACAAGTAAACGTATTTTCAGTGCAAATGAGAGAGTTTCGAAAGAGAGAAGACAGAATTGAGCAGCGATATTTTTAATGACAATGTTATTCTTACAAAAATTTTGAAATATATGATAAGTTTGTATGCGATTATCGTTGGAAATCAATAAAATATGTTGAAACACAATGAAGAAAATTTCATGTCAATATCTTAGGGTAGGATAAAAGTATGAAAAAGTCTTATTCTACAGGGCTCTATTGAGATCATCAGACTTAGCTGAATTTACTATATTTTATAGAGAGGAGAGTTTTACGAATACATGAAAGTGAGTATTTTGAGTACTCAATATTGCAAGAACCCTTGATCAATCAAACTGAAATTTTTTGTGGACGTACATACTACTGACTTATACATATCATATAACTTTTAGCTTGAACGATGGAGTCATAGATATGCCGGTGATCGTACTTAAATCACGATTTTAGGCACATTTGGTCATAGCTGAAACAAGCACTTATTGATAGTTTTCTTATGAAGAAAAATTCTCAAGTCTCTCATATCAGTAAGGAAAAAGACGAGCCTGATTCATCGAACCAATGTAAAAATATTGATTTTTTTTATCGTACAGATATCTATGATACATCCTGTATATAAAAAGATGAGCAATTTACATTAAATCAAATGTATTAATTAGAAAAAGAACGGATGAAAGACAAAACAGTGAGGGTGCGGAAGAAAATAAGATCCACACCGGAGATTTTCAAACTGCTGAGTTATATCGCTTCGTCTCTCTGTGGAGCAAGACAAGGTTTTGGATAGCGAGACCGTGCGAGATTTAACGATTCATTCATTCTGTTTTATCAAAACTTGCTCGATCACTTTATTCTATTCCAATAAGTACAGCTATTGCTGAATGCTAGTTTAATGCTGGTTCAACTTCCAGACGTACTCGATTAAATTCACAACAAGTAAACTACGCATTGTTTATATGTTCACTAAAAAAAACAATAAATGATAGTTATTCATTTTGATCTCATTATATATTTTTGTATTTAGTTTTTTCAATCTATTTATAGATATTAAATGTACTTTATTTTATCTAATAAAATAAAAGAAATAGGAATTGTTACATGTAGTTGAAAAAAGATGCATA